TTCTTAACTATGGGTATACAGGAACAACTTTTCTCAGGGGAACAAAGACTTAAAGCTTAGGCAGCCATAGCACTTTCTGTTAAGTCATTTCTTAACTATGGGTATACAAGAACAACTTTTCTCAGGGGAACAAAGACTTAAAGCTCAGGCAGCCATAGCACTTTCTGTTAAGTCATTTCTTAACTATGGGTATACAGGAACAACTTTTCTCAGGAGAACAAAGACTTATATCTCAGGCAGCCACAGCACTTTCTGTTAAATCATTTCTTAACTATGGGCATACAGGAAAAATTTTTCTCAGGAGAACAAAGACTTATATCTCAGGCAGCCACAGCACTTTCTGTTAAATCATTTCTTAACTATGGGTATACAGAAACAGCTTTTCTCGGGAGAACAAAGACTTATATCTCAGGCAGCCACAGCACTTTCTGTTAAGTCATTTCTTAACTATGGGTATACAGGAACAACTTTTCTCAGGAAAACAAAGACTTATATCTCAGGCAGCCAAAGTCTTCTCTCAACTACAAGTTCACAGTAACAACTATTCTCAAGAGTCAAACAAAAACTTTTGTCTCAAACAGCCAAAGCACCTTCTTGTAAGTCTTTTTTTTCAGCTACAGGTACACAGAAAAAACTTTTCTCATGAGAACAAAGACTTATCTCTTAAGCAACTAGAGCAAGAGTTTCAAGGTACAAAAAAGGAATTTTGTGTCCAAGCTATCTATAAGTCAACCTCTCGAGCGTCGTCAGAGTGAATGATTTTAATTATGAAGAGTCGTCAAGATAGCAACGGTATGATTAATTTCATAAAAGATGGTGCTTTGTTTTGTTCGGATGGAATCAAGTGCCCTATTCTTTAGTAAGTATGCCATTAGCTAATTATTTTAAATCACATTTTCAATCCAATAATTACTTTTCTTTAGTAAGTAAGCTATTAGATAATTATTTTAAATCACATTTTTAATCCAATAATTAATTTTCTTTAGTAAGTAACCTTTTAAATAATTATTTTAAATCACATTTTCAATCCAATAATTACTTTTCTTTAGTGAGTAAGCTATTAGACAATTATTTTAAATCGCATTTTCAATCCAACAATTACTTTTCTTTAGTAAGTAAGCTATTAGATAACTATTTCAAATCACATTTTCAATCCAACAATTACTTTTCTTTAGTAAGTAAGCTATTAGACAATTATTTTAAATCGCATTTTCAATCCAACAATTACTTTTCTTTAGTAAGTAAGCTATTAGATAATTATTTTAAATCTCATTTTAAATCCAACAATTACTTTTCTTAAGTAAGCTATTAGATAATTATTTTAAGTCACATTTTCAACCCAACAATTATTTTTTTCTCTCTCTCAGATATTTTAGAAAGATTTGTTTGTTTGTAGTTAAGCTACACAATGGGCTATCTGTACTATGCCCACTACGGGTATTGAAACCTAGTTTCTAGCGGTATAACTCCGCAGACATACCGCTATGCCACTAGGGGTATGTGCGTATAGGCATACAGTTTTTAATTTTTTCTTACGGAGAGTCTACTATACAATTCGTAGCTAAGCGTATCAAGGGAGCAGTCATAATTTCCAGCGAAATGGAAGTAATCAACGACAAAATCCCATGAGATTGGCATATTTGACGCGTTTCTAGACACATATTTTTAGCGTTAGGAGAAATTACTTTTGTTTAGGATCTCCCATGTCCGAACAAAAATGATTTTTACATTTTTGCAGCATAAGACATGAGTCTTAAATACATATACAATCCCTCTCTCTTTTTTGTGTGTGTGTATATACGTGTGTATATATATATATATATATATATATACTAGTT